GGGTGAGTAACTCTCAGGGGAAGCCACGGGCAGGTCGGGCTTGTAATGCAGAGAGCCGGTGTTGACGGGGGAAGAGACGTGATTTTTCATGGCAGGAGAAAAAGCTGCAGCACAACACAAACAACAACAGATGACTAAACAGAGAAGAGACACTGACAGCTCTACGTGTACTGTGCACATCACAAATCTTATGAAATAAACAGGAACACATTCGACTGAGTGAAGCTCGCTGCAGTCTGGTTCTCCATATGCTGTTGATATATAACTACAGACTAATCTAGTTCATAGCAACTGCATAACAATCTACTCCATAAGACTTACACTGCATGTTATCAGGAGGCCCATAGGGATCTGATAGATACACGCTGGTGGGTTTCCCCACCTTTACAGTGACCACATCACACGTGTTCTTCAAAATGCCCACAGCCTCTTCATGAGAAACGTCCTCCAGACTGTAGTGGTTCACCTGTGCAGACAGACACAAGAGTTCAGAGGCGACCTTTTCTTCTTATTGCTCGGACTAAAGAGTCCAACGAGCTCCCTGCCTCCATGAGAGTGGATTATGACAGATGGTCTTCGGATGAGAACGCACCCGCAGAGAGGTAATTTCATTAGGGGGTGATTAAGCAAGACAGATGCTCTCCTAGAGACGACTTAAGCAGGTTGCTTTCACAGAGTGTGGCAGACACGTCTCACTACAGTATGACGGCTGCCTGGTTAATGAAATGATGAAATAATGACTCCCACTGCATACTGAGTAAGGCTGACTTCTAACTAAAATGAACTTGGTTGTATATTTTCACTAACCAGTCAAGCTTCAGCTTAAATCGACATATTTCCATTTTGGATGTTGAACTTCACCACGTCTGTATTTTAAGCCGGGAAATGTTTGTGCAAAGTTTTGTCCTGTTTAGTAGATGAAATTATTTATAGATTTAAGCTTGGCTGCTATTATCTTGACAAGTATTTAGTATTTGGCGTGCTGCGGGGAAACGCCTGTTCTAAAGCAACAAAAACATCTTGCAGTATCAGTGTGTAATAATAGAGTAAATACACTGGTTCTTGTATAGCACTTTTCTACTCTGTGAGCAATCGAAGCTCTTCACACAAGCTGCCATTCACAATCACACAAGCATATCTAACATTCACAGAAACTCATACAAATGCAGTGGAAAGCAACTTGAGGGCAGTGTCTTCTCCACTGGAGCAGGCAGGAATCGAACACCAACCTTCAATTAGCAGATGAGTCTTAC